GGGTAGTGGTTTGGGATTTCAGAGGGGAAGAAGACAATTCACATGGAGATAGAAATGCAAATGTCTGAACTCTTTTCAGGGCCACCTATAGAGAATGTGGCCAGGGAGAGACGGAATTTTTGATAAGAGGGGCTTGGTGCCTTTCCTATTGTTACATCTATTTTACATTATATTACAGCCATCATGATAATAACTCCTTCCTGAAACAGATCTTTTGCTTTAAATTCTTTAGGCAGTTTGAGAGGGGAAACTCAAATGTTCTTCCTGAGTTTTCTGAGTCTTTATTGTCTTCAGCTCCAAATAATCCACATACCAGAGTGGTGCTTCTTGGGTTAACCTGCCCTGAGCACCAACAAACCATGACACTAGACCCAGGCGGCCCGGTGGTCAGCAACAACACAGACATGGATGCCTAATGCTGTGTGCTGGCTTTCAACTTGGAGTCACATGGAGACAATCTGTGGCCACATGCAGTAAGAATCTCATCAACCTTGTCCATATAGTGGACAGAGACAGAGCAGGAGGGAGGTTGAAGGAACAGGGTAGAGTAAATATCCTCATCTTATCAAGTAGGGAGTAGAGAGCCATATCACAAAGAGGGAGAGAGACAGGCACTGGGACTGTCTCGGACCAGTGCACTAAGAAATGGACTTTTAGGGGCCGGCCTCATGATGTAGTGGTTAAGTTTGGCGTGCTCCGCTTCAGCGGCCCGGGGTTCACAGGTTCAGATCCTGGGAACAGACCTACACCACTCGTCAGCCACACTGTGGCAGCAACCCAAATACAAAATGGAGGAGGACTGGCAAAGATATTAGCTCAGGGCGAATCTCACTCAAGCAAAAAGAGGAATATTGGCTACAGATGTTAGCTCAGGGCGAATCTTCCTCAGCAAAAAAAAAAAAAGAAAAGAAAAAGAAAGAAATGGATTTTTAACCTGTTCTCTGCAAGGCCGAGTCTTTAGAAGGTGCTAGTTAGGGATCCAGAAGTCTCAATCCAACCCAAATGGGAACCTGGCCCAGCAGCTCCCTCAGGGGTTAGAGTTAAGGAGCAATCACCTACCAGTTTCTCAGGGTAGCATGAGAGCAGCAGTTTCCCTACTTGGGATCGCATTACCTGGTAGGAGGTGGGCTTCAGAGCTGCCGGCTCCTTCTCTACGAAAACCCACTGGTGCAACTGAGCCATGCAGCTTGAAACTGAAATTTTAAAACACTACTAATATGCTTTTGGAGCAACACTGCATAACGTTTAGCTTTTGCAAATGCTATTTCTACTCACTTGTATAGCTTGTGCAAGATCACTTCAATACTTCATGTCATATCACAAGGCCTATGCTTGGGGGGAAAGGGAACTTTTTGGAATGCAGAAGAAAAGTATGACAGATACTTCCTTTTTTTAAATCTTTGTTGTTAGATCTTTGCTACACATCAAATGTGTTTGATAAATAGCTCATCCCTGCCCACTTCCTCTCATTGAAGGTGCTTAGGATTAAGATTTCTGTATCAAAAAGAACAAAATACCTAAGAATAAACCAAGGAGGTGAGAGACTTGTACCCTGAAAACTATAAGACACTGCTGAAAGAAATTGAAGGTGACACAAATAAATGGAAAGATACACCATGCTCATGGATTGAAAGAATTAATATTGTTAAAATGTCCATACTACCCAAAACCAACTACAGATTCAAAGCAATCTTTTTCAAAATACCAATGTCATTTTTCACAGAACTAGAACAAATAAACCTAAAATTTGTACGGAACCACAAAAGACCCAGAATAGGATTAAGATTTCACTTTCTGTTTTTAATTGTGCAATAAAACTTAGATGCAGGTCAAAAAGAAGGACGAGACAAGAAGTGGATATGGAAGGCCTATGTCTTAGGTTGCAGAAGGGAGGAACTAAGACTTCGGGACAGGGGTACACAAGCCGAGTCCCCATCTCTCAGAACGGGGTGTGATAAACAACGCCATGGTCACTAGCCATGACCTTGTAGCCTCTGCTTGTGTTTCAGAGAAACGAAGTAGCCTCCAAAAGCAGCAAAAAGAGAAAGCATTTCAGGCGGCTGTCTCCAGGGAGTAATCTGAGGATCTGGAGGGGTGAGCCCTGCAGCTTTTCATTAAAAGTCTTTCTTTATTATTTGAGGTTACTTGATTGGATTTTACCAGGTTTTACTTTGACCAACTAGAAATAAGAAACTCTCCCTTGACCTCTAACACCTTTTGGTTACTTCCTCGTCTCTCTTCTTCCTCACAACTGAACCTCTGGGAAGAGTGGCTACCCCTGCTGTCTCCAACCACCTCCCCAACTCCCACAGCTCCTGCAGCTGTCACTCCATGGACATGGCTTTTCCACGGTCACTGGAGGCTTCCACAGTGCCAAAGCACTCTGCTTTGCTTCCTTCTTCTCTGGCCATTGCTTCCCGCTGCCTTGGTGGCTTATCTCTACTGTGTTCTGAGGCGCTGTCTTGTGCCCCTGCTCTCCCCCTCCACAATCTCATCTCTATGTTTGTGACTTCGTTTGTGGTTGAGTCCCCAATATCTTTATTCCCGACCATTCTTTTGAGTTCCAGAACTCCACATCCCACTGCCTCTGGGACGGCTCCCCTCCTCGGGTGATGGACTCTTCAGATGAAGCATGTGCAAAATGGGACCTACCTCCCCTCCCAACCCCTACACTGCTTTTCCTTCATCCCATCCTCCCAGTGGCTCAGTGTCACCAGATGTCACCTAGTGTCATCTTTGAGTTCTCTTTTTCTCGCCCCCTTCCACACCCAATCTATCAACAAGTCCTGTCAACTCTGCCTCCAGAGCATATCCCAAAGCAGGCCCCTTCTCCGTCTCTCCACGGTGACCCCAGAGGCCCAGGTACAATCCTCTGCTGCCAGAAGTACTGTGATAGCCCCTAACTGGGCTCCCCGCCTCCACCCAGCCCTACTTCTGTTCACCAGCCATGCTGCAGCCAGGGTGTTCTCTCTCTGAACCACAGATGAAAGTACATCACTACCCTGATGAGAGAGCAGAGTCTAATAAAATGATTAACATGATTATTCTAGAACTTTCACATTTGGCCTGCAACCTACATTTTCTACCTTTATTGCATACCTGTCCAGTGCCTGGCACGCCTGCCCATGTCTAGAGCACCTTTCCTTTCATACTCTGCCTAGAAAAATTCTACTTACACAGAGGAAAAAGCAACCTGGATTCGAATCCTGGCTTTGCCACCTCTCGCCCCATGACCTTGGGCCAGCAGCTTAATCCCTCTGAGCGCCTTTATCTGGAGAATGAGGATCAAAATGGGCCCTACCTCCTGAGGCTCTCGAGAGGTGCAGAGTAGTCACTCAATGTCACATCCCTCACCCCACAAGCCTATTTATTCTCATACCCTGCAGCCTCCGACATCTGCCACCACCATCAAAGACCGATGACACCGCACTGCCATCATTGAGTTAGCAACGTCCTCCTGAGAAGGGGCTGTGGATAATGCCTCCTTGATTCTAATGCCAGAGCCTCAGGTTCGCACAATCCTCAGGCAATTGCAGAGAATCGAGCACTCTCCAAGAAGCCATCGCTCCTCCAGTAGCCACTGCCACCTCTGTTGCCACACAATGAAGCTGGGCCTCACGCTAGTGGGGCAGCGGTCCCTGGCTCCCCTTGCTCCCAGGCTGCCTGTCCCACCTGGGTCCCTCCACTCCCTGTGCTGCCAAGCCAGAGGCACCAGCCACCAGCCTCCCTGCCCCAAAGGAGGCCAGAGAAGCCCCCAAAAGCACCTCCCTGCAGCCACTGGCCCACCAGCCCCTCCTGGAGGAGCAGCTCACCTCGACACACGGGCACACACTTGCCCAAGCTGAAGAAGTGGGAGTGCAGCTCCTTGGTGAAGCAGATGTCTGCAGCTGCCGGGGTCCTGGAGCAGGGACAGATGCAGTCATCCATGCCTCCTGTGCACACGGCTTCCCCACCCTCCCCCCAGCATGATGCCTGACATCATCAACAATGCAGAATGGAGGCACAGGAGGGCGTGTAGGGCCCTACTCTATGCCCTGCTTGGACTGCCGCCTCCTGGGCAGAGCAGGCGGAGGGCAAATCTGGGCAGAGATAGGTGAGGCCTGCCAGACCCACAGTGAGGGGCCCATTCTTCCTCACCAACGCATCAACTTCAAGTTCCAGATGTGGCGGAGTTTCAGGATCCCTAGAGAAGGAGAGAAAAGGCTTCATGCCCTAACTTACCTTGTCCCTAGGGAGCACCTTTTTCTGTCACCCTGTTTCAGGGAATGAGGGACAAGGGCACCAGCACTACCATTTCCCTATGGTCCGAAGTGGCATCTTCCAGACTCTTGGGCTGGACTCCCCAATTCTCCCTGGCTCCTCCCTCTCTCTCACCTCCCATATCTTATTAGTCGCCACATCTGGACTGCTTATTTCTCTGATATATATATATATGTATATTTGTGTGTGTGCGTGTGCGCGTGCACGCGAGAAGACCAGCCCTGAGCTAATATCCGATGCCAATCCTCCTCTTTTTTGCTGAGGAAGACTGGCCCTGGGCTAACATCCATGCCCATCTTCCTCTACTTTATGTGGGACGCTGTCACAGCACGGCTTGACAAGCGGTGTGTTGGTGCGTGCCTAGGATCCAAACCCCAGGCCACCACAGCGGAGCGTGCACATTTAACTGCTACGCCACCAGGCCGGCCCCTCTGATATATTTTGACACTGCCTATTCATCTACACCTCTCCCTTCATTGTCACTGCCACCACCCTAGTGCAGGCTACTGGATGGCTCTAAAGCCTCTTTCCTGGCCTCCTAGGATCCGCCTGCGGCACCCTACAGGCCATTCTCTGCCCAGAGGCCAGGGTGAGCTCTGAAAGGCTCCAAGTTGACCTGGTGGCTCCTTGTGAGCTCTAGGATAGTCTAACCTCCTGCATTCAGTGGTAGAAGCCCTGGGCAACCCTCTTCCCAGCCATCCAGGGTACTGGAGCCAACAAACTCCCCATGAAGTCAGCAGGTGAGGAACTACTAGGTGGTGAACCGGACTCCCAAACGAGGCTGGTTGAAGGATATAAACCCAGCTTGGGGAAAACCCAAAACCAGGACACAGGTCTTCCAGCCCCTAGCCCAGAGATTCCTTGACAGGACACCCTATCATCCTCGGTCATCCAGAGTCTTGTTCCCAAGACTCTGCGGGACCTTCAACAGTTTAGAGAATGGAGGGTTCCACAGGCCTGGTGCATCAGAGTACAGAAGCTGTTAGATCTTGCCCTGTGGACGTTTCCTCACTCCCTCACTCCCTCCAAATTTCTGAGGCCCTCTCCAAATCACGTTCCCTGAGAGGATGCTGAAGAAGCCACAAACAAAACTTTCACCCCTGAGGCAGGACACACCAGAAACCGGAGTGCCAGGGCTATGTGAAGAGCCCAGTGAGAGGTGAATTTGTTCTGCCTTTGTTTGGCCCCCGTCCTGAGTTGTGCCCCTGCCTCCCTGTGCCCAGCACACTGGTCCAGGTACCCCAGAGATGAGGGTCATCCATGCAGGACTGGTGATTGGAGACGGTGATGAGGGGAGTGGCTGGGCCTCGGTTCTCGATGAGTTCGTACAGCACCTCCTTGTTGTGGACGGTGAGGTGGTTCATGTACTCTGGGGGGGAGGGAGAAAGTATGGGGGGTCTTGGCCTCCTTCTCCCGGGGCCCAGGGGCTCCCCCCAGCCACGCTAGCCCTTGCCAGCGCCCCCAACCCCAAACCGCAACTCTGGCCGGGCGTGGAGACCCGTGGCAGACCCTGCCTCGGCTTCAGGCACACTCACTGGTCCAGAAGCAGCTGTAGGTGCCCACCAAGCCCATGACAACGCTGCTGGCCAGGGTCCAGGTGAGCGGCGGCACCGCAGGGAACGGCCATTTCACGTGTAGGGGCATCTTCGCCCCAAGACCGAGCTCTCTCCCACCGCCTCCGGCGGCCCGGTGCTCCCTCTGCCACCAGACAGCCGGTGGGGCCGCTCTAGGTCTATGTCCTCAACCGCTCGAGAGCCAGGTCCCTGACAGACCCGCGCCACAGACAAGCGCCGCAGCTTCGCGCGACAGGGGACTCGACCAAGGTCACCTCGCGGGTCAGGCCAGAGCCGAGCCCGGCCCCGCTCTCTCGCCACAGATGAGTCGCCACCGGGCACTGGAGCCGGAGGATGCAGCGAGTACAGACACGGGCCGGTGGCGGCAGCCTCACGCCCCGCACTCCCGCCGGAAAGCGAGCCCGCGACGGCGCCCGGCTCCCCGGCCGCCTGTCGCAAAACGCTCTCGGGCCGCTTGACGGCAATGGGGACAGGCCCGCGGGCCGCGTCGCCCCGCCCCACCCTGCCCTGCCCCGCCCCAGCGCAGTCGTGGTGGGAAGCCGCCGGCCGGCTGCGCAAGCCTTTTGTGTCCTTAATCCGTCCCCTAAAAGTCTCCGGGAGCTGGCCCGGTGGTGTAGCGGTTAAGTGCGTGGTCCGTTGCGGTGGCCTGGGGTTCGTAGGTTCAGATCCCCTGCGCGCACCGACGCACCGCTTGTCAGGTCATGCTGTGGCAGCGTCCCATATAAAGTAGAGGAAGATGGACATGGATGTTAGCCCAGGGCCAGTCTTCCTCAGCAAAAAGAGGAGGATTGGCGTGGATGTTAGCTCAGGGATGATCTTCCTCACACACACATAAAAAAAGTCTCCGGGGGTAACATGGGCTGTGACACCGTTCAAAGTCGGGGCTGGCGGAGCACTTTTACTTTAGTTTTTTTCCCCTTTACTTTTATTGAGGTAAAATTCACATAACATAGAATTAATCATTTTATAGTATTTTATAGCATTTTATATTATATAGAGCATCTGATATATATAACATATGATGTTATGTTATTATATGTATTATATTATGTAATTGTACATAATTACATACAATTTTACATAATTACAGTATTACAGAATTGTACTATATATATGTATGTAATATATAACATGTGATGTAATATATAATATGTAGCGATATATAGCATAAAATGGGAAATTATATATATATATATTTCGGTATTTTATATCATTTAGTACATTCACACTGTTGTCAACCACCACCTCTAACTAGTTCCAAAACATGTTCATCACCCCAAAAGAAAGCCCTGTACCCGTTAAACAGTCTATTTTTAATTTTTAAAGCAGAATTTTATTGATTTTTAAAATTTTTTCCAACCTTCTGCTCATCGCCACCCCTAATCCATTAGCACGTAGGTCCTACTAACAGGGACATTGCTCTGATGACAGCATTACAACCATCCAGTGAGGACCCACCGCCTGACCACAGACCCTGCCTGAGTTCCCCAGTTGTCCCAACAGCGACAGTGCACGACCCTATGGGGCACTGAGCTGCCAGCTCTCTAGTCCCTTTCTCTTGGAGACAGTTACTCAGTCCCTGCCCTCTGGGAAGGGTGTGGCAACTGGCCTGGCCTTGACATGACATAACGTGAGGAGTGAGTCAGGAGGCGAGTCTCTTCCTCTTTCCTCCCCTCCCCTCCAGTCTCTGCCCAAGCAGGCACTGCGATTCCGTGGGGTGTCAGGATCCACTTACAGCTGAGGCAGGCGTGGAGACAAGCTGGTCTGTGCAGGTAGGGGAGCCCTCTTGGCAAAGGGATGGAAGAAGTTGCCCCCAGCCTGGGGAGGAGGGTGAGAAGGGAAGGGAACCACAGGACTGCGGCCAAGGCCTGGTGTTGGGAGCCTGGGCTGGGCTTTGGGCTGAGGCCAGGAACAGTCATTCTCTGGTTCTTCTTTCCCTCAGCCCTTGTGGGGGCCACTGGCCCCAGGGGCTCCAAGCTGGGGCCTCCAAGCCTGCAGTTACCAGCCCAGGGCTGCCCAAATACCCATGTACATCCCAGAATAGGCACCAGGGCAGGGGACTCAAACTAGCATGAGTGACAGAGCAGGTGGCCAGGGAGAAACAGGCATTGAGCCCAAGCCAGGAGACTGAAGGAGATGCACAGAGAGGCAATGACAGAGACAAAGAGGGGGATAGCAGAGAAAGACAGAGGCAGAACATGAGCCCAAGGGGAAGGCAATGAATGAGGTGACAGAGAAAAGCAGGCAGACAGAAGTAGAGTGACTTATGTTGCTGAATGAAAGTGACATGGACAGGGAATGGAGCAAGGGGCTGAGCTCAAAAGACAGGGCAAAGTCTGGGTGAGCCTGAGACAAAGATAAACCAAGAGAGCTGTTCAGGAAGAGAGGGCCTCTAGTCGGTAAGATGAAGAAGAAGGGCTGCCAGTGGTGGTTGGGTGTGAGAAAGGGGCCCCATCACACACCACAGTGGGGTGATTTGGTGTATCTGAGATCATTTTACATGTATACGCCCTTGAACCCAGCAATTCTACTGCTGGGAGTTTGTCTTAAAGATAACATCTCACAAGCAGGGAGAGAGATATGTGCAAGGATGGTCCTCCTAGTTGCTAAAGGGGGTGAAAAGTTGGAATCAACCCCAGGGTTGAACCCTTGTGCACTGCTGGTGGGAATGTAAGATGGTGTAGCCGCTATGGGAAACAGTTTGGTAGTTCCTCAAAAAATTAAACACAGCGTTACCATATGATCCAGCAATTCCACTTCTGGGTATATACCCAAAAGGACTTAAAGCAGGAACTCGAAGAGATATTTGTACACCCATGTTCACAGCAGCATGATTCACAGTAGCCAAAGGGTGGAAGCAACCCAAGTGTCCATCAACAAATGACTAGATAAACAAAATGTGGTCCATCCACACACTGGGATGTTATTCAGCCTTAAAAAGGAAGGACGTTCTGACGTGTGGATGAACCTCGAACACATGCTAAGTGGAAGAAGCCAGTCACAAAGGACAGACGCTGTATGATTCCACTTGTTTGAGGTCCTAGAGGAGTCAACTTCACAGAGACAGAAAGTAGGATGGTGGGTGCCAGGGGCTGTATGAGCCGGAGGGGGGGTAGTGTTTCATGGGGACAGAGTTTCCGTTTGGGAAGATGAAAAGTTCTGGGGATGGATGGTGGGGATGGCTGCACAACAGTGTGAACATACTTGATGCTACTGAGCTTGTACACTTAAAAATCGTTAAGATGGTAAATTCTATGGTATGTGTATTTTACCACAATTAGAAAGAATGAGGTCAAGGCATATATGCCAGTGTCAGAAGATGTCCCCAGGGAGGAAGGCAGGATATCTGCGATGCTGGCAACTTGGGAGGCTGGTGCTGGGCAGCAGGATGAGCATCAGTTTCTCTGTCCCATATTACCTTGTCCTTCTGGAACCAGAACTGAGCCCAGCTGGGACTGCACCCTGGGGTGACCTGGATTCCTCCGGAGGGTCCCAGCAGCACACACACAGCCATGCACTGCCCAGCCGCGCTCCTGTTCCTCCTCCTGGCCAGTGGGGCTGAGGCCTTTCGCATCTGCGCCTTCAACGCCCAGCGGCTGACGCTTGCCAAGGTGGCCAAGGAGCATGTGATGGACACCTTAGTTCGGGTAGGTTCATCACTGCAGGGAAACTGCACCCCTAAGGGCCATGATCAAAAGCCCCCAGCCCTGCCTGACCAAGGGCATGTCCCCGAGGAGAGGGGACATCAAGAGACATGGGTGTGGAGACATGGAGCACATTCCTTCCCTGTCGTTAGCCTCAGTCTCCTCCTCTGTAAAATGGGTGCAGTGTGGGTAGGGATGGCATTCAGTCTTCTCCCAGGTTCTTTCTAGTCCCACTGCTTTCAGTGGCAGAAGCCAGTGCCACATGACACTCTTGGCCATGCCAGTGCCAGTTCCCCAGGGACACCACCCTGCTCCCGCAGTGGCTGGCACTGAGTGGGGCCAGCCTTCCTGGTGTCCTGCAGATCCTGGCTCGCTGTGACATCATGGTGCTGCAGGAGGTGGTGGATCCTTCTGGCAGTGCTATCTCCCTGCTGCTTCGAGAACTCAAGCGGTGAGGAGGGGTCTGTGGGTGTAATCTGGTGCCATACCAGAGCCTCATGGCCCCTGACCCTGGGTTCCCCTTTCCTGGCAGATTCGATGGCTCTGGGCCCTACGACTTCCTAAGCAGCGCCCAGCTGGGGCGCAGCACATACAAAGAGAAGTACGTGTATATCTACCGGTAAGCACAGACAGTGGCCAGCCTCCTTCTCATCGCGCTCTTTCCCCTCAATGGTTTTATTCTGGGATCTTCCTCTCCTCTGCCCCAGCCGGCTTTGGCACCCGTGTGTCCCTACAGCAGGAAGCCTTCCTTCTCCATGCACAGATGTGGGGTTCCTCTGCCTCTCTCCTGTGAAAGCCACTGGGGCTTAGAGTGAAGCTGGCCCCCTCTTTGGGAGTGGCCGGCTGCAGCTTCTAGGAAGAGGTTCAATGGGGGCCCATCGGGGGTCTTGGGAAGACCCAGTTTCTGGAAACAGCCCTAAGTCCCTGGGAGGACAGCCTCGGGAGAAGCCCTTTGGGGTCAGGATCCTGAGGTGAGAGAAAGAGACCTGTTTCTCTATAGAGATGCAATTATATAATGTCTAGAATTCACTCCAAAATAACAGGGGAACAGAAACTTGTCCATACAGGAATGCTCCTAGCAGCATCACTCATAACAGCCCCGAAGTGGAAACGAGCCAAGTGTCCATCAGCTGGTGAAGGTTTGTGTGTGTGGTCTCTGCCCACGATGGAAGGAATGGAATCCTGACCCATGCTGCAGTATGAGTGGGCCTTGGAATCATTATACTATGGGAGCAAAGTCAGACGCAGAAGACCACATGTTAATTTGCTTCCATTCACATGAAATCTCCAGAATAGGCAAATCTACAGTGAAAGAAAACAGATCAGTGGCTGCCAGGGGCTGGGGGGGAGGGGAATGGGAAGTGACTGCTAATGGGTTTCTTTTTGGGGTAATAAGAATGTTCTAAAATTGATTGTGGTGATAGTTGCACAACCTTGTGAATGTACTAAACACCACTGAATTGTGCATTTTAAACAGGTGCATTTTATGGTATGTGAATTATATCTCAATAAAAAAAGTCCTAGAAAAAAAGGCTAGGAAGGCTGTGCCCACATGAAACAGGGTTGCTGATGGAGGGCCCTCTCCCTGAGTGCCAGCATTTTTTTGTGTGTGAGAGGAAGATTAGCCCTGAGCTAACATCCAATGCCAATCCTCCTATTTTTGCTGAGGAAGACTGGCCCTGAGCTAACATCCATGCCCATCTTCCTCTACTTTATATGGGACGCTGCCACAGCATGGCTTGACAAGTGGTGTGTCAGCATGCGCCCAGGATCCCAACCTGTGAACCCTGGGCCGCCGAAGCAGAGTGCACACACTTAACTGCTACACCACCGGGCTGGCCCTGAGTGCCAGCTTTGATGTTGGCACTTGCAAGCCAAACTCAGTGACATGGGGCCACTGCTTCCTGTCCCTTGGTCCCCCAGGTCCCACAAGACGCAGGTCCTGGATTCCTACACGTACGACGACAAGTATGACCGCTTTGCCCGGGAGCCCTTTGTGGCCCAGTTCACTTTGCCCAGCAAGGGTAGGAGGGGAAGAAGGGTGGCCCTGCTCTGTGGGCGGGGGAAGGGAGTCTGGCTGGCTCTTCCGGGGGCTTGGTCACCCGCAGGAGGCTGGTCAGAGAACGGCCAGGAGTGGGTGGGAACCCTCCATCCCTGGGGCTTCACAGTCCTTCCCAGCCTGGTGCTGGTCCCGCTGCACACCACTCCGAAGGACGTAGAGACGGAGCTGAACGCCCTGTACGACGTGTTTCTGGATGTCTCCCAGCACTGGCAGAGCAAGGTAGGACCGGGCAGATTGCACAGGAGGGATGGGGACAAGATGGCCAGGTGTCCAGGCCCAACTGCTGCCCCCTCTCCAGGACGTGATCCTGCTCGGGGACTTCAATGCTGACTGCGCTTCGCTGACCAAAAAGCGCCTGGATGAGCTGGTGCTGCGGACTCAGGCAGGCTTCCACTGGGCGATTGCTGATGGGGAGGACACCACAGTGCGGGCCAGCACCCACTGCACCTATGACCGCATCGTGCTGCACGGGGAGCGCTGCCAGAGCCTGCTGCGTGCCGCGGCCGCCTTTGACTTCCCCAGGAGGTTCCAGCTCACCGAGGAGAAAGTAAAGTGGTGGGGCAGGAACAGGGTCACCGAGAAGTCCCTCAGCCCCGACACTAACACTTTGTCCCACTGCCCATCCCCAGGCTCTCAACATCAGCGATCACTACCCTGTGGAGGTGGAGCTGAGCCGGGCGGCATGCAGGGTCCAGCCCCTTGGCCTGCCTGCTTTCTTGCTTCTGTCGCTGCTGCTGCCACTCCTGCCCCCCCAGCTGGACCTAGTGGCCTGAACCGCCCAACGCCTGCTGTCCACAGATGTGACGACTACACTGCCTTCAGGACTCACACCCTGGCTTCCCCTGTCTATCCTGTCCTGGGGCCAAAGTGACTCCTGAGGGGCTTCAACTGCAGCCCTGCCCCATCGGACTGTAGCCCTCCTCCACCAGACTGCAGCCCTGCCCAGCCCTGCTCCATCCGACTGCAGCCCTACCCAGCCCTCCTCCATCGGACTGCAGCCCTTCTCCATCTGCCTTTTCTTTGGTTTGGCTTGTGTTCTTCAGTTGGGCCTGTGCCTGGCATCAAAACATAGAAGATGGGGTCAGCCCCATGGCTTAGCGGTTAAGTGCGCGCGCTCCGCGGCTGGCGGCCCAGGTTCAGATCCCGGGCGCGCACCGACACACCGCTTCTCTGGCCATGCTGAGGCGGTGTCCCACATACAGCAACTAGAAGGATGTGCAACTATGACATACAACTCTCTACTGGGGCTTTGGGGAAAAAAAAAAAAGAGGAGGATTGGCAATAGATGTTAGCTCAGAGCCGGTCTTCCTCAGCAAGAGGAGGATTAGCATGCATGTTAGCTCAGGGCTGATATTCCTCACACACACACAAAAGAATGTAGAACATGAGGAAGGCAGGGGTCCTGAGGCTGGACCCATGACACTACCTCTTCCCCCAGGTAGTCTCAGGAGGGGAGGCAAAGCAGGCTCCAGGGCTTGGAGAGAGGGAAGAGAGGGCTTAGGAGGTGATCTTGGCTAAACTCCTGACTGCTGCAGGGCTCAGAAAAGGGAATCACAACACATCAAAAGATTTTATTATATGACAAAAAGGAAATTTACATACACACTGAGAACAGAAAGCTAGATTGGGAGAGATATTACATATGTGTAGCAGATATGTCAAAGGGCCATCTTTATTGTACACAGGATTCATATGAATCAACAAAAAAATATTAAGACCACAGTAGATACAAGGATGGAGATAAGCAGTTTACACACGCGTGTGCGCACACAAAGTAGCAAACGACAGGAAACGTTTCTCCTTGTAATACAGTGAATGAAAATAGTTGCACAGGCCTGATGCCTGCAGTCAAGCCCACGTTCATAACCACTGTACAGCCCAGCCCCACCACCTAGGGCGCTGTCAGTCCACATTGGCATGTAAGTCGAGTATGGGGCAGCGTGGAGGAGGCTGGTTACCAGTGCTACAAGTGCACACAGAAGAAATCTCTAATCAGAGCAGCTACCACGTGAGCACACACGCAGGGAAAAAGGGCTCCAGGGTGGTAGACACGGCCAAAACGTTCACAATGAGCCCACGTGGGGTGTTGCTGTCATGGGACCCTCCCTTCCCCAGCTCCATTTTCCAAAGAACAGAGCTCAGTAAAAACATAGTGGGGCATAAAAGCTGCTTAAGTGCAAATTATAATATTTATGGTTTAGAACCATCTCTTCGAGATGAAAAATAAAGGTAATTTTAAACTTTAAAAATGGCTATAGGGCCGGCCCCGTGGCTTAGCGGTTAAATGCATGCGCTCCAATGCAGGCTGCCGGATCCCGGGCGCGCACAGACGCACCGCTTCTCCGGCCATGCTGAGGCCACGTCCCACATACAGCAACTAGAAGAATGTGCAACTATGACTTACAACTATCATTGGGGCTTTAGGGGAAAAATAAATAAATTAAAAAAATTAAAAAAAAAATGGCTATAAATAAAGATTATCAGGGGCCACAGGGACTAAGCTCCACATGGAACCCCGCCTGGAGAGCAGCCTGCAAACTGCAGCACGGCTCTCCCCAACATGCCTGGCCCTGGAATCAGATCCCTTCATGGTCATGAAGACCCTTCAGGTCTTCTTCAGGTGCACAGCCTCAGGCCATCCTGCCTAGCAGAACTCTGCAGGCCTCCTTTTGCTGCTCCCTTAGGATACTCCAGAGCCCTAATGCTGCTCTTGCAGCAGGGTAGCCCTGGCACACAACTGGGGTGCCAGCCAGCACATGGGATCCTCAGGCAGAGGCGGGATCACACTATCTACCCAAAGGTCTTGTTGCCAAGCCCTATGGGCCAGTTTAATGGCAGGAGCTTGGTGCTGGGGTGGACACTGACCAGAGTGGTCAAGGGCCCTGGGAATGAGGCCCTAGGAGAGGGGTGGGGCTTAGGTCAGTGAGTCAAGGACTTTGATAAATAGGGTCAGGCCCAGGATAAGGCTGTTTGAGGAGTAACGAATGAATCTGTCTCCTGAAGGGCTGGTTAGAACATGGCCGGGACCATCCAATCCAATTTACATCTCCCCATTTACCGTGATGTTGCTTGTCTGGGACATTTGGGGAAAACTTCCACAGCAGCCCAAGGTGAGCCTTAGGCCTCAAGCCCTTTTTCATCAGCTGGTTAGAGCACTTTACTAAGGCAGCACTTGATGCGTATGGACTAACTGGTCTGGGCTTGCAAGGGGATTTTGAACCTACAGCCTCTGATCTAGGGAGAACCAAGTCAATGTTCCACTGAGAGGCTGCTGGTCCCAGCCCATGTTCTGAGTTTGTTCCCTCACTGGTGCTGCTAAGTGCCAGTTGGCCAGCTTAGTCGTCAGCCTTTTTCTGAACAGAAGGGACAGGGACCACAGAGTTCCCAGAGGCTCTCCCCGACATGAATCCAAATGCAAAGACAAATGGACAGTAAGTAGGATTTATTGGTGGGCGTGAGTAAGGAGGAGGCAGTGCTGAAGCTCTCATGAGTGCAGGGCCCGCCATTTGTCCAGGGGGCCACGATTAGGGATGTATTTGACCCCACAGCCATCCGGGATGAGCCGCTTTTCAGCCACCATGTCTTCAAATTCATCCGCATTAAACTTAGTAAAACCCCACTTCTTGGAGATGTGGATCTAGGAAGAGACAGAGGTGAGTCAGGAGGCCTGGAGACTAGGGCGAGAAAAGGTGGGACCCAGCCTGCAGCACTACTTACCTTCTGGCGGCCAGGGAACTTGAACTTGGCCCTGCGTAGGGCCTCAATCACATGCTCCTTGTTCTGCAGCTTGGTGCGGATGGACATGATGACTTGGCCAATGTGGACCCTAGCCACTGTGCCCTGGGGCTTTCCAAAGGCACCCCGCATACCTGTCTGGAGCCTAGATTGGAGACAGCAGGAGATCAGACACGAAATGTCCACTGGAAAGGGCTGTCTCCAAGGTCCCTTAGGGCAACCCATACCAAGCAACAGGCTGCATACACTACCAAGGAGGCTGCTGTTCGCAGCCACTGCACACCATGCCCCCATGGGGAAAAGAGCACGGTCGGCTTAATTGGCTGCAGAGAACCCTCAAAACAGAAATGACCAAAAACACACCATCCAGAGTCCCTGCAAGTTGCCACTGGGCTCATGTGAAAGCCCTCCAACATGCAACCACCCGAATTTCCTGCTTGCTGGCAGACAGCTGTCACCAGGTTCAAACAAGCAGCTATGCCCTCAGAAGAACCTCCCTCCACCTGCTGCTCAGGGGCTGCTTAGGCATGACGCTTTTTGTGTTTCTGGGACTCAGTTCTGTTCATCTATGCAGTGGTGCAAGGGGAAAGCATCCACTGAAATACACTTGCCAGCCCTTGGCCTACCTTTGCTATGGGTGGTTAAGTCTGTTTATGTGGGGCCACCTCTTTGCCCTGACAAAAATAATCAAGCCCAACAAAGGCCTCAAGTTATGAGAAAATACCTGAGAAGGCCAAGAACCAGGACCCAGCTCACCTGTCAGCCCCGGCGCAGGACAACATCTTGTTGATGCGGATGACGTGGAAGGGGTGGAGCCGCACTCGGATGTGAAAGCCATCTTTGCCACAGCTTTTCACCATGTACTTGTTGGCACAAATACGAGCAGCCTCCAGGGCTAGGTAGGGGGAAAGGAAGGCAGCAGAATGAGACACGAGGACACACAAGTACTTACCATGGCCCTCCCTGGCTCTCGGAGGACATCTGTATTGGCCGGGTGAATTTTGTATAGCGGCTTACAACTGGGTGCTCATGATTAACGAACTGGTAATTCCAGTAATTTGCATTCTGGGTCTGACTGAGAGAATACACAGAAGGGACTAGGCCTCACCTTCGGAGGAGAGCTGCTCATATTCATCTGACACCATGTGGCCACAGAGTGGGAACTCATCGACTTTTGCCTTCTTCCGTCCCAGATCAAAAATGCGGATCTTGGCATCTGAAAAAAAGCCCAGATAAGTGGTGGTCGGGGGTGCGGCATAGGCAATCAGGTCAGTGCAGCCAAACCAGTTTCGGAGCTCTTCCACTACTTACCAGGGACACCTCGGCAGAAGCGAGACTTTGGGTACGGCTTGTTCTTACAATACCGGTAACTGCAAAGGGGGAAAAACCCAAGTTTGCCAGGGATTCACAAGTGAACTCGAGAACAGGCACTTTGAATGCTCCCTCAAGTGAAGACCAAAGGACTGGGCAAGAGAGGGGTGACACATGAATCTCTAAACTGTCTCCATTCCTAGAAATTGGCTCTAAAGCAAGACATGGTCTGAACAAGCTGTTGAAAACGTAGAAGACATCCATGCTAGAAACACGGAAGTAAAAATATCTCCCTTTTTCCCTTACGGAGCTTTAGACTTGCTCTAAGGCCAACACTTTGAAATAGTATCTCATTTCAAGGCACTGCTTACTACAAATTTGCTGCCTAACAGTAACACAGTTCATACCATCCACCTAAAGACTTCTGGGCACGTGGCATTAAATCCGCCTCCGAGCCACGTGAAGGGCTCCCGGCGCCCCCTGCAGGGCACATGAGGCGGCTGAGCCCACTTTTCTGGGACAGCCCTTGGCGTCCGAGGAGACCACACGGCATGTCGCCCGGAAATAAACTGCGGATGGCACACAAAGGTCCCGAGAGAGCAGCGAGCATAAAAAGGCAACAACTTTCCAGGACAGAAGGCAGGACGCAAGCTGGACGTCACCTCCAGCCCAAACTGGTGCAGCACATGCAGTCCACGGTCAATCCGCCAATCCAACAAAATGGGGGAAGGGCTAAACAGCGGCATGAACTTTTAAAGAGACGGATGATATAAAGACCTAAAACGACTCAGAAGGCACTGAGAAAAACGTGGAGTCTGTTCTCAGAACTGGAAAGCCGCACTAGGGAGGCCCCATCCCACAGCTGTTTTTAGCAGCCAAATACAGTTTTCTCTCCCTTTTCCCGGCAGCGAAACTGAATGGATACGGCACTCACCACCGGGCAGGGCGGCGGCCCATGGCGACACCAGGATCTTCACTGGCTAAAACAAAACAAACAAAGTCGGAACAGAAGACGAGAACAGGCCGCAAACCAACGGACAGAAACTGTAAACTAACCACCCAAGACCAGAGCAACAACTACTCACCGCGCCGAAGAGAAAGAGGCGCTCCCACGCCTGCGCATGCCTTATATAGGCGGTCTATCTTCGCGCGTAGGAACCATAGAGTCCCGGCGAGGGCGAGTGGACGCTCTGTCACACTTCCCGACCATAGAGGCAGCGGCGCTCTGCGCCTGCGTGCGGGCGTGGCCCGGCACATGCGCAGAGCGGCGAGGTGGCTGGCCACGCTATCGCGGGGGGCCAGCTGACGAATGGGGCGTTGCCACATCCACAGGCCAACCCAGCTTGTGGCCGGCCATGTTGGGTGTAGAACTCTTTCCCGAGGCTTTCCTGTAACTCTGAAGGACGTATGTTCCTAGAGTGGAAAAAAGGAAAGTACTCCCGAGTGGGGCTCATGACAGCCGCGCGCGTGTTCCCGGGAGTCGCGGAGACTGGAACACGCTGTCCGTGCCTCCCTCTAGTCTCCAGGGCCTGGCGGGGACGCACCTTACTGAAGCCTCAGCCCGCGTTCCTTTGTTGACGGGGAGGCCGGAGCGAGAGGCCCGCCCCCCGTTCGCCCTGCCCTAACTGAAGAGTCCGCAGTAGGCTTTGCTGTGAGCCGTGCGCCGTGTCCCGGTTCTCCGGAGGCCTAGGACAATCTGCAACCTCACGCGAGAGAAAGTCCGAGGAAAAGCCTCCACCGAGATCCAGGGCCCCCGAACACCGTTGAGCCCGCCCTGCCCACCCTGACCCAGCAGAGAAAAGACTTCTGCTCCTCAGGGTGTCTTGGAGGAGGGTGGCAATCCCACCCAGATGGCAAAGTAGCACTGTCGCTCCACCGGCTGCGCTCCAGTCCTGGCCTCTGAGAGCTGCCTTGCTCCACGCTCCTAGGAGCTTCCACCCTCCCAGGGCCCAGAATGTGCCTCCCCACCCACACCCCGTGCCAAGGGTGTCTGGGATGGTTCTCTGTAAACCTTCGATCCCACCCAAACACACACACAAGAATAGTATCCAGAGAGGTGGGCAGAGCTAGTGCTTGAGTCACCAGGCATCGTGTGTCCACCAGAAGTGCCCAACTCTTCCAGAAGTGCGGACAGCATGAAGGTAACAAAGTCTTCCCCGTGTCACTTGACAGATGTGGCCTGCCAGCGAGGGGATCCTATTCAAGCACACCTATATTTCTCCAGG